CGTAAGTAACAACTTGGGACTTTGACCTCTTCTAAATATTCATGTGTTAAGAGTATACATTGCCACACTAATGTGAAATCTCACATTCCAGTTTGTATTCTGAATGCGTAGTCTTCAATTTTCATAAAAAAGACATTAGATGATTTTAAGATTTATGAACTAATTCATGCCCAACTTTATGATAAATCCAGGTAAGAAATCTTACAGAATACAAAAAAGGATTTGGAGTCCACTGATCACTCAAAATTCCCCAATACCTATATGAAGACTACCAGAAAACTGGTATTTAGATCACTCTGTTGTCCCTTTATGGAAGTGATTTCACTGAGCTGTACTGTAGCATCACATCCTTTGCTAATGCTTAGGTTTACCATGAAATAACTTGACTAAACTAGGAATATACTAATAATATGAACACTAAAGACGTGGTCCACTGTATTATTCACGGTCCCCTTCCAAACCAAATTGCCAAGCATTGCTTTGAGGAATTGGTTACTTGTCCTTATGAACAAAACACCTTAAAAGCTGAAAGCTGACTGTATTTCCCTGTGACCTTTCTGAAGCCCAAAACAAGAGTCCAAGTTTAACATTAAAACACTACAGGACTTACAAATGCCTGCAGTGTTACAACTTTGATCCACTTTCAGTATTTTATCTGTATTTTTCCTGATTCCATTTTAAAACTATTTTCATTTTCTTGACTGATTATATGCATACTTGCATGTATTTAGTTCTCTGGAAGTGAACCTTGTAGGACATAAACACATATTAATGACCATTCTTTTAATTCTTGAGATAGCATAGTATGCAAAATATGCAAATGGTACTGAGCTCTCTAAATTGATCTACAAACTAGAAAATATGTAAACAGAAAGCCTCTCATTTTATCGTTTCACATTAAAAGTAATCTCAAAGCTGGATGTTACAGGGGACGAATCACTAGAATCTACTCGAAATCATTATAGCACTATAGGCTAAGTAACTTGTATATAAATTAAAAAAATAAAAATTTAAAAAAATTAAAAAAAAATAAAAATGAAAAAATAAAAGTAATCTCAAAGTAGAAGAAAGTGTAGTGGGATTATGGCCACTTAAATTGAGTTATAGAAATATACGTAAAACTGAGGCTCCTGGGTAGCTCAGTTGGATAAGTGTTGGACTCCGTTTCAGCTCAGGCCATCATCTCATGGTTTATGGGATCAAGCCCTATGTTCGTCTCCTTGCTGACAGCACGAAGCCTGCTTAGGATTCTCTCTCCCCATCTCTCTTGCCCCCCCTTTCCCGCTCACATACCTGCTTTCTCTTTCAAAATAAATAAAAATAAAATAAAATAAAATAAAGAAATATATGTGAAATAATTATTACATATTACAAAATGCTACCAAATTCTTATTACAATATGAATTATAGGAATTATATTTTTTCAAAAATATTTAAAATTCTACTTACCGTTACCAAATAAATAAGATGATCATTCAAATTGTTAACAAAAACTTCAAGATGAAGTAACAAAAATTTCAGCAAGATTCATAAGAGAGGAAGCCCAGCTTACAAATGGGTGAAAACCAAAAGATCTTGAGAAAATCAATTGATTGGAACTTAGAATCTATATTTTCCCAAAGAAACAATGCTATCCCTAAGTCTTAGATTCTTAGGTACACTATCCTAATCATGAGACTGGGGAAACCACTTCTCTTTCCAGATTGCAGATCTTTATGCATGAAATGACACAAGTATCCACCCTATGTAAATAAAGTTAAAAGGAAACATTATTCTATAAAATGTTAAGCACTATATAAGGTGTTTCCCTATTATTTAATCCTTAATGTAACTGAAATTGATCTATCATGCCTATCTTTTTGAAGCTTCAGCTTTACCAAGTGTCTGAGATAAGGGGAATGCTAGGTTGCAAAGAGGTGTGAGAAAACATGAGTAATTTTTAAAAATATTCCCTTTGACATTTAAATGGAATGTAAATGTAAATGTAAACATACATTTTGTTGAGTAGTATTAAGATTATATAAAACTAAATATATAATATGTAATTTAAATATTCTGGTAACATATTACACTGTACCTTAAGGGTATTATCAATTTAAACCAAAATAAAGCCAGGAAATAATGAATACAGTAACAATCACAAACATCATCATAAAATGGAAACAATAATCATTGTAAAATGGAAACATTTGAACCCTAAGCTCCAGCCACAGTTGTTGTAAGTGCTTTAATGTGTTATTTCTTTCACTTAATCCTAGTAATAACTGTGTGAAAAGCTATTACCACCATTTTACAGAAGAAACCCAGATAAAAAATAATTTACACAAGAACACAGAAATTTCAGTTTCTAAATCAAAGCTAAAGAGCAAAGCAGGCTAGGAATAGTTGATTTAAGACTGGAAATGTTCCTATAATCCATTAGAAAAAAATGGATGCCACTTAAAGCAATTGAAAAACATTAAGAAAAACTCCAAAGCTGATTTATCTTATTAACAATCAATGAAAGATATAAGTGGTTTTTCATGCTTGCATTTGTTGAACTTCCACCATGAAAACTGAGACTTTTAGAGTAATCTAGTAGGACATTAAGAAAAAGAAGAAAAAGCCAGAAGGAACAGTATTGTAAATATGTTTTAAAGTGGATGTCAATAAATTTTCTAAATGTAGTTAAGACTTTACACTTAATATAATTAGCTATAACAATTATAATGAAAACAAATGTAGCAGCTAACATTTACATAGTGTTTATCATGTGGCAGGCACTATTCTCATTCAGTGTAATAATTCACCTAACACTAATAACCCAACTGACTGATACGGAAAATAAGAAAGAACAATGTAAAGTAACTTGCCTAGGTTGACACAGCTAGCAAATAACAGAACAGGACTCCAATCCAGGCAATACAGTATGGTTTCAGAGTCTTTGTTCCTTACTAACAAGCTATATGAAAAATTGGAAAAAAACAAATCTGTGCTCTTAATCAGTAACAATCATTTAACCCAGAACTTTTCTATAGAATGAAAATATACAATTCTGCACCTCTGGGCAAGTGTCCTTTTTGTCTAGCAACAGAATAAAAAAATACATTATCAACCAACATTTAAAATGAGACTAAGTTGGGGTGCCTAGGTGGCTCAGTCAGTTGAGTGTCTGACTCTTGATTTTGGCTCAGGTAATGATCTTACAGTTCCTGAGATCAAGACCTGCATCGGGCTATACAATGACAATGCAGAGCCTGCTTGGGATTCTCTCTCTCCCTCTCCGGCTCATGGGTGGTGCTAGCTCCCCTCCCCCCCTTTCTCTCTCAAAATGAATAAACAAGCATTAAAAGATAAAATAAGGGTGACTGGGTGGCTCAGTCGGTGAAGCATCCAATTTTGGCTCAAGTCATGATCTTGTGGTTCACGGGTTTGGGCCCTGCAACAGGCTCCATGCTGACACTGCAAGAGCCTGCTTGGAATTCTGTCTCTCTGCCCCTCCCTCACTTGTGCTCTCTCAAAAAAAAAACTTTAAAAACACAAATAAAATAAAATGAGAGTAAGTAAATAGTTCGTAAAAAGTGAGGAAGTATGTAATAGATTAGGCACTTTAGAGAAATATTTTACTTCAGTCTTTCTCTGAATATTTTATAAAATGCTTATTACTATGTAGAAATATTTTAAAATGAGACTCTGTCATATAATACACATCACATGATATACATATTTTTAAATAACTTAAATGGAAATTCTCACTAAAGGATTTTTAGATTCTAGTTACCCAAACAGACTTTTGCACATCCCTTATGATTTCATTAGCTGTTCAGACAATAATGCAATAAATTTAAATTTGAAAGATCAGCCATATGAATTGCATTAAACCTAGAAATCATGCCTTTTGAAATTTATACTGTTTTATACTACAACTACTGTGTTTATATCACTAATAAGCCCTTTCAAAACTCTGCTGTCAATCTAAAGGAAAATTAACTACATAAGAGTAGCTTATGTAGGTTTATGTAGATTATGAATCTGCAAACTCCTAACTAACCATAAAAATAAAACCCTAAAGTTCGTCTAAAAGACAGTCTGTTAACAATCACCTACCAATAAAATAAAAATATTTAAAAGCCATACTGTGGAATAAAAACACTTAACAATCAGGGGTGCCTGGGTGGCTCAGTTGGTTAAGCATCTGACTTTGGCTCAGGTCATGATCACACAGTTTGTGAGTTCAAGCCCTGTGTACAGCTTTGTGCTGACAGCTCAGAGTCTCGAGCCAGTTTCAGATTCTGTACCTCCCTCTCTGCCCCTCCCCCGCTCACACTCTGTCTCTCTCTCTTCTGCAAAAATAAACATTAAAAAAAAATTCATTATTCCACCACTGCTTTGCGTACATGCAGAGAAAAGTCAGATGAATTCATAATATAATGTTAAAGAAAGGATGTAGTTTTTGGTCCTTTGACCAAGTCATCCACATTGACAAGTTAAACTTACACTTAATTGATACTTATGTTTTTAAGTAAACAGGTTTCCAAGTCTTTGAAATACAGTAAAATTATTTTACATAAGAGCATCAAGGCCGCCTTTATTTTTTTTGAGGGGCGGATGCAAGGGCAGGCATATGAGAAGGGGAGAGGAGCAGAGGGAGAAAGAATCTTAAGCAGGCTCCTTGCTCAGCATAGGAGCCCAACCCAGGACTCGATCCCACCCATGACCTGGGATCATGACCTGAGCCAAAATCAAGAGTTGGATGCTCAACTGATTGGGCCATCCAGGTGACCCAAACCACAATGTCTTCTTCATAATTCTGAAGTCCACAAAGTTGGAAAAACACTGAGTTTTTAATACTTGGTGTAAATGGTCATTCACTTTCCTGCAGATATATTAATGGGTTTTATTACAGGATGTTTCAGATCCAGCTGAAGATCTTAAAATTACACTTTTCTAAAATCTAAAAAAACATGTGGCCCCAGGAGATTTTGAAAAAGAGACTGTATACATATATTCTAAGTTGTTACCTGATATTCAGAATCCAGTCTAAATGAAGAGTCTCTTGAGTGATAGGTATCATTTAAACTATTTCCTCTGCTTCCAGACATCATCCTAGCACTTAAAGAGCTGGATGGTTGAACAGAAATTCTTCTTGGGATCCTTGAAGGTTTAGACTCCATTCTTAAAGTTTCCTGCAAAATGTAAATTTTGATTAATTGTCTTTGGGAAATCATGGAAACCTTAGGTTCTTTCTTTCTTTCTTGGGGAGGGGTGGGGGGTGGGCAGTGAGGGGCAAAGGGAGTGGGAGAAAGAAAATCCCAAGCAGGCTCGACCCTGAACCTGATGAGGAGGAGCTTTATCTTATGACCCTGAGATTATGACCTGAGCCAAAATAAAGAGTCAGATGTTTAACTGACTCAGCCACCCAGGAGTAATCATCAACTCAAATCAAGAATTAACCATGCAAATTAACTGTATCAGGCATGGGGAATTATGAGACTATCAAAACTCTTCTTCTACAAGGCAGGAGTCTAAAGTCCATCAAAGGCTTCCTATTGCCCATAAAATGAAGCAAGCTGATAAAAGTGGGATGAGGAACTCAGGTTGTTGCCAAAGCTTGGGCTCTTTTCCTTAGTAATTTCTCTCCATAGAATCCTACACAAATTTGTAGGATTTTTCAAAAATGAGAATGACTTCTAAATTTTCTTTACTAAATATTCCTTAACCTACACCAAGAGTCCCAATAGCTATGCATGATCTTTTAACTATGCAGGTATCTCCTACTTTTCAAAAGTCTATGTTATGCTACTTCACCTGTTTTCACTAACCAGAAGAAATCCAAAGAGAATTTTTGCTTTTATAAAAAGAAGGCAATGGGGTGCCTGGGTGGCTCAGTTGGATACACATCTGACTCTTGATTTTGGCTCAGGTCATGATTTCAGGGTCCTGAGATCAAACCCTGTATTGGGCTCTGTATTGGGGTGGAGCCTGGGTGGGATTCTCTCCCTCTCCTGTGATGCATGCACACAGGCACACTCTCTCTCAAAAACAAAAAAAGGTGAAAAGTGAAAAAAAAAATTCAGTATTTGTTTTGCAGCAAGCCATTATAGAGGCAATGTGTACTGAGTAGCAAGTGACAACACCAACCTCCTTTCCCAGGAACTACATTCCTGGTCTTGGCATCAAGTTCCCATAATTTTAAACTGTGTCTATGAGTTTCTGTGCTTTATCTCAATGTATTTTATGCAACCATTAACAAGATGTGGCCTAAGGTGCCAGAAAAGTCTGACAAGAGGTTATTTTTTGGGCTGGGAACATTCAATAGTTTTCTCACATAAACTAATGGTATTTGCTTCTTCTCTTTACACGAATTTCAGCTTACAGTTTCACAGAAATGCTCTATTTTTGGACAGAGGTGGACACCTGTGTCTATATGAACAGAAACATACAACATGTACTCTTCTATGTCTGGTTTTATTTGCTCAATATTGTATTTGTGAGAGTCATTTGTGTCGTTGTATGTAGCTGTTGTAAGTTCACTTTAATTGGATTGTATGGTATTTTACTGTATCAATACACGTAATTGATTTTCCTATTCTACTGTGGATGGACACTGAATTGGTTCCAGTTCTAGGCTATTACAAGTAGTACTGCTATAAAGACTTCCAAACATATTTTTTAATATTTATTTTTGAGAGAGACAGACAGACAGACAGATAGACAGTGTGAGCAAGGAAAGGGTAGAGAGAGAGGGAGACATAGAATCTGAAGCAGGCTCCAGGCTCTGGGCTGTCAGTACAGAGCTTGATGTGGGGCTCAAACCCACAAACCATGAGATCATGACCCAAGCCAAAGTTGGATGCTTAACTGACTGAGCCACCCAGGCACCCCTCACATTATTTTTATAAATTAATAAACTTTAAAAATTTTCTGGGGAAAGGATTTAGAAATCTAAATCCTCATTTAGAAATGAGGCCACTAGATAACTGAGAAACCACCAGTCTTGAGAGGAGAAAGAAGAGAAGGGCAAAAGAAAGTCGCAAATAAGAAATAATAATCTCAACTTTTCCCTCACTTTCAATGTCAAAAATTCCCTTATTGTTCTGGTAATGGATTCAAATTAAAGCAACTATAAACAGATGCACTTCACTTTCCTGACACGCTGCTTGCATTTAAAGAATTTGCTTTACCAAAATATTCAAATTTAAACATTTAAAGTAAAAATACCTAATTTATTTTTGGCATGTAACCTTATTAACTTACCTACCTTGGATCAATCACAACTTTCTACCTTAAAAGTTACTACAAAAGAACTATCAACAATAGCCAAAGTATGGAAAGAGCCCAAATATCCATCAATGGATGAATGGATAAAGATGTGCTATATATATATATATACAATGGAGTCTTACTCGGCAATCAAAAAGAATGAAATCTTGCCATTTGCAACTACATGGATAGAACTGGAGGGTATTATGCTAAGTGAAATTAGAGAAACACAAAAATCATATGACTTCACTCATAGGAGGACTTTAAGAGACAAAACAGATGAACATAGGGAAGGGAAACAATAATATAAAAACAGGGAGGGGGACAAAGCATAAGAGACTCATAAATATGGAGAACAGAGAATTGGGAGGGTGGGTGTAGGAGGGTGGATGGGCTAAATGGGTAAGGGGCACTAAGGAATCTACTCCTGAAATCATTGTCGCACTATATGCTAACTAATTTGGATGTAAATTTTAAAAAATAAAATTAAGGGGCGCCTGGGTGGCTCAGTCAGTTAAGCGTCCAACTTCGGCTCAAGTCATGAACTCGCAGTTTGTGAGTTCAAGCCCCGCATCAGGCTCTGTGCTGACGGCTCGGAGCCTGGAGCCTACTTCGGATTCTGTGTCTCCCTTTCTCTCTGCCCCTCCCCTCCCCTGCTCATGCTCTGTCTCTCAAAAACAAATAAATGTTAAAAAAAAATTTTTTTAAATAAAAAAAATAAAATTAAAAAATAAAAATAAAATAAAAGGTAACAGCACACAGAAAAAAATATTACAAAAGAAATTTCCTTTGCTGATCATATTTACTTTAAAAACATGGTATGAGGCAGTAACAGAAAAGATGAATAGAAGAAAAAACAGTAGGAAATATACAACAAACATGAAAACACAAATGCATGATCAATTAAAATGATTCCACTAAGAGTATCTAGCTAATGAGAAACCACAGTAAAAATTATACTGAGATATGATTAGATCAAAGAAAGCTTATCAAAAAAGGTCAGTTTTGAACTTTCTGTTAAAACATGACAGGTTATCCTAGGGGCACCTGGATGGCTCAGTAGGTTAAGCCTGGACTTTGGCTCAGGTCATGATCTCAAGGTTTGTGAGTTCGAGCACCACATCAGGCTCTGTGCTGACAGCTCAGAGCCTGGAGCCTGCTTCAGATTCTGTGTCTCCCTCTCTTTACCCCTCCCTTGCTCACACATTCTCTCTTTCAAAAATAAATTACTATTAAAAAAAAATGACAGGTTATTCTTATGCATCTATTTACCCCTCTTTCCAAAACCTTTATAAGACAATAACTGAAACCAAAAGATTTAACCATGAAAAAAGAACAGGAAAGGGGGCCACAAAAAGCAAGAGATCTTTTTTTAAATTTTTTTAATGTTTATTTACTTTTGAGAGACAGAGCAGGGGAGGGGCAGAGAGAGAGAGAGAGAGAGAGAGAGAGAGAGAGAGAGAGACAGAATCTGAAGCAGGTTCCTGGCTCTGAGCTGTCAGCACAGAGTCCAATGTGGGGCTTGAACTCACAAACTGTTAAGATCGTGACCTCAGCCGAAGTTGGAGGCTTAACTAACTGAGCCACCTAGGTGCCCTGAAAGCAATAGATTTCAATGTGTATTTGGAAAATCTAGAGGAGAAGGAGAGGTATAATAATTAAGCAGAGAAGATAAAACTATACCCTAGGCACTTAGAAAGAGATAGAAACTAAAAGCAAAACATTTGGCCTTAGCACACTAAAAAGAACCAAGACCTGAAAAGTACCATTAAAAAAGATGCATGGGGTTGAAAGTGAGCTGAATTAAAATCTGTAGCTGGAACGGTAAAACTCCAAATTCTTCCCCTAGCTTCATTCTTCCAAAAGTCAGAATAAGGCTTCTTCAGAATAAGGATTTCACAGGCAATCCACCTCACTTAAGCATACAATCATCTTTACAGGGGTAAATGTAAAAAAAAAAATAAAACAAAATCTATACATGTTCAATATTGAGACCTGAGAACTTTTTCCTGGTCCTATTTCTACAATATTGCCATAAAATTAAGGGATTTTTACTGTTGGATCACCAAACAAAACACCAGAGCAGTAAGATTTCTGGACACTGACATTTGGACTGCCCCCCGTTACAAAGCTAGTTTGCCACATGAACATCCTACTCCACAGCAAAGTCTACTAGTCACCAAGAGTTTCTAATCAGTGGGTTTTTTTTGTTTTGTTTTGTTTTTGTTTTTTGGAGTGAGGGAGGGGCAGAGGGAAAGGGACAGAAAGAATCTTAGGCAGACTCCATGCCCAGCGCAGAGCCTAATCTGGGCTCTATCTTAGAACCCTGAGATCATGACCTGAGCTAAAACAAGAGTTGGATGCTTAACCAATGGAGCTACTCAGGCGTCTCTCTAAACAGTTTTAGTGTTTCCTTCAAACAGATAAACAATAAGGATCACTAAGTAAGTATCCAAAGAAATCCTCCAATTTGAAAGAGAGACCAGAGTTAAAAAAAAAAAAAAAAAAAAAAAAAAAGGAACTTGAAGAAAATTTAAGTAAAGGAGATAACTACTGTCCTCAAAGGGATCAAAAGACATCTATTCATTAAATAACAGTCCTTAAGAAAGCAATCAGATGATAATAAAAATCTTGTGTGGCCCATTTAAAATGGGATATGCTTTTTAAAAAATGTGATACATTAATCTAAATTCAATATAACTATTAAGAATAAATTGAGGGGCGCCTGGGTGGCGCAGTCGGTTAAGCGTCCGACTTCAGCCAGGTCACGATCTCGTGGTCCGTGAGTTCGAGCCCCGCATCGGGCTCTGGGCTGATGGCTCAGAGCCTGGAGCCTGTTTCCGATTCTGTGTCTCCCTCTCTCTCTGCCCCTCCCCCGTTCATGCTCTGTCTCTCTCTGTCCCAAAAATAA